CCCGCCACCTCCGACATATGGGGCTGGCGCCGTACCCTTTTGAGCCACAGGCGCTGCTGCCCTCGAGTTTCATTTTTTTTTTTTTTTTTTTTAGAAATACTTAATTATCCATACATTGGGGGTCTTCATTGTCTGATCTCCCTCTAATAATCTTTTGCCTTTATTTCTTTGTCTTTGTACTTTGCTTTCTGTAATATTTTCTCAAACTGATTCTTCATTTAATGAACAGTTTTCAGAGGTATCCATTCTATTCTTACTGCTTCACATGTGGATTTCATTTCTAAATAGCTTTGGCATTTTCTCTGTTCTCCTGAGCTCTGCTACATCATTTTTTTGATCGTTTCTTACCATCTTATCATCTGTTCATTGAGTTACAACTGGTGATCAAGGACCTACTAGGTGGTGAACACCAAAGATGTCCTCAGTCTTAGAGATGAGGACTCAGGAGGGTCTGTTCTCATCAAGCTCATCTGCTGTTGGCATCGAAGGAGACAGACAAGAAACAGGAAAGAAAGAGGTTTTAGGTGTTGCTAAAAACAAGAAGGAAGAAACCCTAATAATAGGGTAGAAGAAGCAAGATGGCCGGAAGCATCTCTAGCTAGATTGGGCTCTGACTCTAGGGTCTAGGTCTCAGAATATTTATATTTATATTTTTAAATTTTAATTTTTTTCAGGGTAACAGATATATTTTATTCAGGAATAACAAAGAGAAAGTTTAGAGTACTTCCAAAGAGAGTTGGAAGTGGGTCCCTCTCATGAAGGAGAAACGGTGAGGGAGACTGAACATTTATATTTTTAAAATCATAATCTCTTTGCCCAATAATTTATACTGGGGGCATGTCTGACACACCAGACTCAAGAGTTTTCTATCTTACCATTTTCCTTCTCTGAGAAACAAATCTAACTTTCTCTCCCTACCAAGGAGTGAAACAGATGCAATTTTACTCCTAATATAACACCTTTTTCATGGTGACACAAGTAACCAAGGAGAGTTATGCACTTAATGATTTGTCTGTGTTTCCTAACTGTATGTCATATTTCAACAAAGATTTATAATATAATACTTTTAATGAATTAGAAGACGTGGGATCATGAAAACCCCAGAAGACTGAGGAGCTGGTTCCCAGGGAACAATTTCTCCTTTTCCGTTCACAACCTGCCTTCTCCAGACCTCCTACTGTGAGTGCTTGAACTGTTTGGGAACCTTCTGGAGAAATTAAGGTCTTGCTCAATGTTTGTCCCTATGTCTGTGCTTATAGCTAAGTTAATACGTAAGCATTCGTAAAGAAACAGGAGCTGCTTCTGTGTATCAGATTAAGAAGTCACGGGACTGAACATGCAAATCATAAAAAGAGAATTAAAAGAATGAAATCAACTGGTAAAAGCTAAGATCTACTGAGTTTTCTTAGGGATCTGTCCAAGCCAGGACTGGATGTGGACTGAGACCCCCAGCTGGCTGGCTCACTGAGAAGGGAGCCAAGAAGGGGATTTTTTTCAACTAGGGTAGGGAACTAAAAGGCACGCATTGACTTCTGAAGGGGTGGGGAGGAGGCTCCTGGCAAGAGCCCAGGGCTTACCAGAGATACCCAGTCTCACCAGCTTACTGCGCTGGGGACCGAGGCCATTGTCAGCTGTGCAGTAGTAGTTTCCAGAACTCTCTGTGGTCAAGGAGAGGTTGAAGGATGCTCTCCCTCCAGACGGGATTAAGCTGCTCCCCAGGTGGGCGTCCTCACGATAAAACTGGTACAGGATGGGTAGAGAACCTCTCTGGGCTTCACAGCCAAGTGTCACCAGGGCTCCCTCAAAAGCCTGGGCCCTGGCAGGGCTGATGGTGAGGACAGGATGAGATACAGGGACTGAGGGAGAGAAAAAATTAGTCAAAAATGGCTTCTGGCTCTCACAGCAGGTTTTGATGCATGACCAATATGCCTGCCCTGTCTCTGCTGTCCGTGGGTCCACAGGGTGGCCTGGCAGCATCCTGGGCTTCTCTGCCAGCTCTCTTCTGTCCCTCATGCTGACTATCTCCAGTCTGTTCCTTCCTCACTAGACCTCTAGTCTCTTCTCTTTCCCCGACTCTTTTGCAGAGGAAATGACACTTTCAAGAGGAAATCCCTTAACTTGCAGACCTGCACCCTTATCCACACCAGCTCCTTGCTATTTCCCTCCACCCTGCAACCTTGAAAGAGCTGTCTGTCACCTGCCGAAGTCACTGGAGTCTTCTCAGCCCCTGTCTCTATTTCTTCCTTCACTTCGGTGGGCCCTGGGGCTTTGTCTTTGACCCTTTTTCTTTCCAGATTGACATACATTTCCAGCTGTACCCAGACTGACCCTCTTGATTTGTAGGGAGAAAACTGAGTTAGCAGCAGCCTAGAAGACTTGTCTGCAGGCTGTCTCCAAGGCCAGCCAGGACCTGTGTTCTTCTGACCCCTGACCAGTGATGAATCACACTGTCTCTTTAAAAGCAAGCCTGGAGTTACCATGAGTGGAGGGAATGACACAGAGCCCCAAAGATGCCGTTCTCCTCATTGCCACAACTACCTAACAGCTTTGAGGGCAGGATGGTGGCGTGACATGGTAAAGAAGGTGATGTAGTGTGGGGTTCATAGTTACATCCATCACTACACCTCCAGAGTTACATTTCTGGAGTAACTGTGATGTTGCTACCTGTCTCTATATCCCACGTGGATTTGCACATTGGTTCTTATCCATGACTAACTCTTAAGTGGCATAACAGATACCTCTGTATCCCGGGGAAAGAGAAATGATTTGGAAGCTACTGAGAATAATAGGTCGATTGGCACCTCAAGTATCTGGGGTTCCAGAGGAAAGAGGAAAATAATAATTATTAAGTTCTACAGAAGGTGGGCACAAGGGTGGGGTGGGGAGGAGGAGAGACAGAGAGAGAAAAGAGAGAGGTAGGTATGCTTCAGAGACATTCAGAGTGTGATGGTAACTGGCTGGTAGAAGTATGAGTTCATGAGAGATGTCATTTGCTCTCATTGTTGGAGGCCAACAGGGACCTGGAGATGGCCTGGGGGAAGAAGCAGGAAGCAGGCAAGAGAGCAAAGATTTGTCCAGTGCCAGCAAGAAAAAGACCCAATCCAGGAATAGCTGGGTTTCCGGCGATTATCAGAATGAAGAACTGAGTGTTGTCTAACTGCGTAATGCTGAGCTCTAGCATTACTTTTTGGCCAGAGATTGCTGATTTTCACAGCATTTAGACCCTGAAAATTTTTCATAGCTAAGTTAGGAGAGTTTTGGTCGGACTGTGTATTTTCCTATTAATGATTCACTCTAAGGGACTTCTGTGTTCCTGACAGCAGTCATAGAAAAGAGTTCAGAGCTGCGAGGCAGAAGCAATGAGCGTGTCAGGAGGCCATGTAAGCCCAGAGCCTGTGGTTTGTGCAGATGGAGTCTCTAGGTGGGGAAGGGCGGAAGGACACTCTCTGACCCAGCTGTGAGCTCGCTTCTATTGGAAAGTGTCCTCTCTTTGCTGACTGGGACCCCAGTCTATTTTCTCAACACAGGAGTCATTTCTAGAATGCTGTGTGGGCAGAGAGAGGATGAGGGGTGCTCCCTCTTTCTAGGGGCCCTAGGTCTTCAGCATTTCAGCCTTACATTAAAACTGATACGGGACTGGGGAGAAGATCCCCAATATCACACTGAAGTTCTACCTTGTTCTCCACAGTGTCCTGTGCCCTGAGAGCCTGATTGTGAGGAAGGCAAATGTCACTGGGAATAAAAGAGAAAAGAGGGTGGCCAAGGAGGGTCCCCACACATCGTAAAATTAAAGGGGCTTGTCAGGAAACATGGCCCCAGGTCAGCTCCTGTTATAACATCCTATTTGTTCTGGCTTTACTTCCAAGAGATATTTCACTTACCTCAGAAGACATTTGTAAATATGAAGAGTGTGGACATGGGCCAAATCTCTGAGTGTTTTTTCGCATCTCCACTTTTAAGCATTTCCAAAAGCTCCCACTGTCCCAGCCCCTTCTGTTCCTAACTCCTTCCTGCTGGCCTCTGGTAGGCTCTTCAGAGCACTGGACCATTGGTAATTGTCAGTCTTGGTTCCCACCCGAGGACCACATGGTCTTCACTAAAGACCACTACATGCAGCGAGATAACCCACTCCCCAGGAGACCCCTGACAGAGTGCACCTTTCACCTCGATGGTCACTGAGTTGCTGCGGAGACTGGCGGTGCGTTTGTTCCTTACTTCACAGAAATACTCCCCAGCATGGCTGCTTTTCATCATCAAGATCTGGAATTCTGCTCTTGAGGCCATCCAAATCCTTTTCTCATTCGGGTTTTTTAATCTTCTATACCAAGAGACTGTGGTCCCTGGGCCTCCATCTGCTGAGCAGGTGAACGATAGATCCTGACCTTCAAATATGGACTTGGAAGCTTGGAGAGGGTGTGTTTGAAAGTTGGTGACAACTCCTGAATGAATAAAAATGACAGATGAAACTTATGGTAGATAGGGGGTCTATGGATGGAGAAAAGTCACAGGATGGGCAGGGCTAAATCTGCTGCTCTCATGTGGAAAGTTGGACCTGGGTGGAACTGGCTTGTCCTTGGGAATAGAGAGGAAAGTGTGGGGAGGCTCTGGTGATCCCCCCAGGGAACCCTTCCAGGGACCCCCCCCAGGGAACCCCCTAGCTAGGGAAACTCTCTACTCCCCAATGTCTCATGGAATGTCTGGGATAAGGCACAGAGGCAGCCCTGCCTGGCCTCCCTTCATGGGCTGCCCATCCACTGATGGAGCAGGGGCAGTCATTCCAGATGATGTTCAGTGCTCAGCAGTTGGGGAAGGTGGACTGAGGGAGTGGTGATGGGGACAGGGAGCCTTGGCATCAAAGGTGATTGTCCTGGGGCCACAGGGATTGCAGGGGCTATTTGGAAATGAACCTGGCATGTGCAGTAAACTTGCCCTTGAGTGGGAACTTCTTAATCCCTCTAGTGTGTTAGTTAAATAGTCAAAGGAGGTGGAGCCAGGACAGCCCCACCAAGCCGGATAGTCTGTGATGAAAGCAGCCCATATCCTGCAAGGGTATGGTTTTTCACAATGATGTTGCCCTAGGACAGTGTCTTTCTGAGTCATCCTTAGGTCTTGAATTATCTTGAAGATAATTGAACAGAGGGCAGAAGGGCCTGAGGTTGAGCTTTTACCAATTGTGCTGAAGGACAGCCCATGCTAGAAATGATTGTGTTGCAACTACGGTAACACTCTCTCTATCTTCTCTGAATTGTCCTTCCTTAAACCAATGAACTAAGAAATACCTGTTTCCTGTAACTGTAGAACATAAGATTAATAAAACTTAGTCAATTTAGAAGAAACAGAGTCATAGAATCTTTTTTGCTTTATGGTTTTCTTTTTATTTTGGCCCAGGAATGGGAGTAAATTTAAGGAGAATGCTCCCAATTTTACTCTCTTCACAGAGGAAGGTGTGCAACCCAGACTACATTCCTTCCTAATGGACAAATAAATTCTTATGAGACTGACCAAATTTAATCCAGGGGAGCAATTAGCCATACGTTAGCAGCCATGCTTGAGGACCTACAAAATTTTAGAAACTTAGGAAAAAGTGATAGAGGGTACAACACCACCCCTAATGACATCAAGTTGGAGTGATTTGTTCCCCATGCTACTGTTCCTTGGCTTCTTGTTCTTAGGCACTGTGCTCTGATGCCTGGCATCTCAGGAGCCTGACCATGTGGCCAAGCAGAAGCCCACCCAGTCGGAGGGCTGTGCCACAGCCCACACCTATGCCTATCGGCCTAGTAGAGAAAAAATGGTATCTGGGAAGAGAGCCTTCTGAGAGAAAAGAAGGCTCTAATGGTATTGTGAGAAGAAACAAACTCATGTCTCTTCTCCTGTAGTTTCCTGGCTCTACTCCTTTAGACATCCCCCAAAGTTGGGGGTCTCCTGTCTCATAGCTCTCGTTCTCACAGGCCTTAGAAGCTCTTGGCATGTGGGGTGGCAGCCCCCACTGAAAGGCAGGTCTGCCCGGCTCATCCACCCTAGCCCTGACAGACCTCAGAGCCCAATGACACTCTGCATGTATATCTGGGATCTCCAGCTCTCCATTGTGATGCTGGGCTTCTTCGTCCCTGACATGTACCAGTAGGACCCTGAATCTTCTACCCATAGGGCAGGAACTGTGGTCTCTGAGGAGCTGCACCAGCCAGATCCCAGTGTCTAACTATATCTGAAGAAGCAGAAACAGAGCTGGACCTCTGACTTCTGTGGGTCTGCCATCTTGTTCTCACAGGTCAGGGTCCCTGGGCTCCTGTCTGTGGGCCAGGAGGGGCTGTCAGCACAGGACAAGGAAACAGTTCTAGAGAGAATAATTGCAATAGTTCCAGAGCAATAGGGGACCCTTGCCTCAGCACCAACAAGCAGAGCACACGGAGGCAGGCATGGGAAGATGCCTTGACTCCTGGCACCCTTTTGCCCATGGCACTAGTACACTTTCTCTGGCCCTTGCAGGAATGTACCCTGAGTGATCCAACCCACCTCTTTCTTCCTGTTCTGCTTCTGTGACCCAGGAGCCCTCCTTTTGACCAACCCACTTCAAAAAATAATGAAGCCTTTACTTTTGACTTGAACTTGGAGTTTGACTGTGTTGGAAGTAAGGTAGAGACCTTCCGTATATCCAGTGCAGTAATAGTCACCATTGTCCTCCAGACGCGCACGATCAATAGTAAAGGCAGAGCTTCTCTCAAGGTGTTTCAGGCATTGACCATCCTTGTAAATAGTGTACAGTGATCCTTTGGCCCTTGTCTGGCACCTCAGGACCACTTGGTCTCCTTCAGACACAGAGAGAGGAGCCTGCAGGATCAGCGGGTCTACAGGGAAACACAAGCCCAGTTAATTTGGTTCACCCCATACCTCCCACTTACACTTTTTGTTATTATTCCAAGTAGCTTTTGTAGAGGAGGCTTGTAGAAATAATTGTTAAAATAATCTCATTTCTTTTTCTAATTTTAAAATAAACATGTGTGCCTGGAAAAAAGTAGAAATGTAGGTAAAACCCATCTATCATCCCACCACCCGTATTTTGACACATGTGTTTCTAGTTTTCTCTTCCATGTTCATGTATTTGAGAGACTGTGTATATATTTTTTTCTTTTTATGGGATTTGGATATAATTCATAGATTTGACAATTTCTTTTTTACTTACTATGCTATGAACAATTCCATATGTCATTAATTGTATCATTAAATCTGATTTTCAATGGCTGCTAAATTTTCTTTCAATGTCAGTAATGTTATTTATGTAATGAGTCTTCCCTTCTTGGTCCTTTAGGGCCCTCCCTTTTAGGTGATGTATTTCTATGATGGTTTCAGTAGGTAAATTCTTAAGAGGGGAATTGTTAAGTCAAAGAGCACAAGCATTTTATTTGTTCCTTGCTACTCCACATCATCCTTATTCATGAAATGAAAGGGTTTTAGAACTAGATGGTTGACAATCACATCCCTGTCAATACTTCAGATCACTTCTCATTGGGCTGAATGAGTTTTATCCGGATAAGTTAAATCTTCTTAAATGTTATGTTCAAACTTAAGAAGCTAATTCTGTTCCCTATCTGGTGGTATCCTGAGCTTTTTCACTCTCTCCTTGTCTGTCTGACCACAGTGTGGATAAAATTGTTCACTCAAGAGTTGGCAGCAGTGAATGACAGACACAGCTGGAGGAGAACATGACTGGAATTGGTTTCTAAAGTTTCCATTCCCCTCACTTGCTCTCACCTGAGGAAAAGACCAGGTGCACAGCGTTACTTGGGGGTGAGCCTCCGATCTGGCAACTGTACTCTCCAGATTCACGGACCTTGAAGGTGTTTCTTTGGGTTTCTATTTTGTTACTAGAATAGCGATGTTCCCATTTTGTTTTCTGTGGTGCATAGTGGCGAATCCCATTGCAAGTCAGAGTCACTATGTCCCCTTGGAAGACAGTGGTCCACGGAGGTTGGAGGGAAATCACAGGTTTGCCTGCAGTTGCTGAGAAGAGAAATGGGTCAGAGGAGGAGCCTCCAGGCTCAGGCACAGGGGTGGGCGTGGGACAGACTGGAGGCTTTTGAGGACCTTGAGGAGGCCTCTGAGAGGGTCTCTGCTGGCTCATGCTGTGAGTCAGCCAGGGTGCTCACTTCACCTGAGGGCCAACTTGCTCAGGGGGTGGCAGAGGGTAATACCAGCAGGGATTCACTGTCAGACATCACCTGCTACTTGGCCTGTCATGGAAGTGGATCTATCCTAGAGAAAATTGCCCCTGTCCTGCCCTTCTGTCATGCTCCTAAATTCATAAGAACTTCCAAAGGTGTCGTTAAAATCACAAGTTTGCACTTTTCCTGAAAGAATAAACCATACTGGTTCAAAGGTATTGAGCTATCTCCGTTATTCACAAATTGAACTTCTTATTCTTCTCTCTCCCTTCTCATTATGGGACTTGACTAGTCTAAATAAAAAAGAATAAATTATATTATCATACATTTGGCATTGGGCAACTTATCTAATACCTTCGAATTTAAATGAAGATTCAAATGCCCAGGACAATCCCATCATAGCTAACTGTGGTAGAGCAAGGAATGAACATGTCATTTGCCAGCATCTAGAGGTGACCTAGACAAGGGTCAACTGGGGCTGCTGATTTTAGGAGAGGGGATGTGGGAAATTGCTGTTCATAGTCTTCAAGTATCCACTCTGACCCAGAAAACTGGCACCAAGAGCTAGGACTGCCTGCCTGTGCGCTAACTTGTCCTCTCCCATCTCCCTGTCTGCACGTTTCACCCTTGTAAGGGCCCAGGTGTTGGATGGTCCTCTGCTCCCTACAGCTCTCCCAGGTATTTCACTCCATAGCTGTAGATGATGAAGCATTCCTGCTGGGACCACCACAGGAGGGGTTTCCTGGCTTACTGATTGGGAAAGGATGTTGGCCTGAGCCCAGCATGTTTGCCATGGAGGTAAGAATGTCATGCCTGGCTCAAGGGGGTCCATTTGCAATAGAGGGAAATGCAGGGCCTTGCAAAGGCTGGGAGCTGCTTGAGCATTCCCCTCCTCACCCAGTGAGGATCAACAGGTGACCAGGAGGCTCTCTTGCCTTTGGGCAATGCCAATAGACCAGGTGACACTTTCACACCTCTGCTGACCTTGACAAGAAAGCAGGAGATATTAGAGACCCCAGGTGACTATCATGAATGTTCCCTACTTATTATGGAGGTGCTCTTATCCAGAAACAAGAGGGAACAAAAGAAAGGAGAACTCACCCCACTGTCCACTGACAGGAGCTGCAAAAAAATTAACAGCCAGAGATGAGCACAGATTACAAATTTTGTGACTTTTCAAAGTTAATGTCTATTTTTTCCTCATCTATTTATTGTTTCTTCCATTAAAAATTCAGCAAAAATCTAATAATTATTTAATATCTATCTATCTAAATATATGTACTAAGACAGTGTGATTGGACTTCTAAGATGAACTTGAGACATGGTCTCTGCTGTCAGGGAGTTGACAGACACACCATAAAATTCATGTAATTATAGCACAGGGGGAGGGCAGTAATGGACACACACAGGGGGTATCTTGGTGCAGAAGGGATACCCAGAGTGTGAGGGTATGTGTTGAAGAGGGTGGGAGGACCATGGAAGGTGATGCTTGAGAAAACTGTGAGACACAGGAGACGGCAGGTGAAAGTTAGTGTTTGTGTGTGGCAGGAGGTGATAGGGAGGGCAGTCAAGGCAGAGAGGCACAGAGTAAGAAAACAACACTGGTGTTCAGGAGTTGGGGAGTCTGGAAGACAGGGAATGGTGGGAGAAATAGGATTAAAGAGGCCAGTGGGGCCCAAGTAAGTGGCTCTGATTTTACTGTAAAAGCCACTGGGAGCTATGGAAAAATTTCAAGGAAAGTGATGACAAGACTTAAAACATAGGTGGAGGTCTCTGTCAGTGGGCCCAGGTGTGGGGAGCAGGCTGTGTGGGTGGTAGGGCCCCCACAGTCTGGGAAATGCTCAGGGAGTGACCCCCCACCACTTCTCCTCCTCTAACAACATTCTTACCACCTGTCAGAAGTTATGCAGCCCATGCACACTTGTTATCAGCAAGCAGTTTTTCCCCTTTAAGGATGATCTTGAGGGGTGGAGCCAAGATGGCAGACTGCAGCCAGCTTTTTACAGAAGCTCCCATCCAGAAGGAGGCTTGAGGGACAGAAGTTTAGCAAGTTGGCTGATGGTTTGGAGCAGAGCCAAGAGAGAAGATTGAAGAGCACACTTCAACCTTCCTGAGGCAAGCTGCAACCCCAAAAATACAACCAAAAGGTACAAAATCCACCACCAAGCAGACGGGAGTCCCCTCCCCCACAACAAGAGCTCGCAGTTTACTTCATGCAAACAAGTGAGCAGAGTTTAAACTTCCTCCCACTCTATCCCACGGGAGAGACCCCCTAAAAACTGGACCTCCTACCCCTGCTGGCATGCCACGGCACCCTCTGGCCAGGCATAAAACTGTAAAACTGTATAAAACTGTATATATTCTCCACCTGCAACATTGAACTCCGAGGAGTCCTCACCCACCCACTCCGAGGTCTGGAGGTTTGTTACCTATGGAATCCAGATTCTTGGGCATCTTGTTGAGAGAAGTGGAGGGGGAAAGGGCTGGTGCTATTCTGTGCTGACTGTGGCACAGGCGTGAGGAGAAGAAAATCGGCTCAGGGGACGATACAGCAGCAGGGGCATCCTGAGCTGCAAACTGACACCATTCCAGCCCCATCTCTCTGGGCAAACAGAGAGATTCCAGACAGCAGCCACAGGCAAAATGCAGATAACTTTCATAAGTAAAGCACCAGCCCTCAGGGTCTAATACACCTGAGACAAAGGAAGTGGGTGGGTGGAGGCTAGAATTGACACCTGAGTGTAAACTGCTATTTGTCTGCTGCCCAGAGCTGAATGCAACCTCTGATTTACAGAGAAATCTAGCTGGAGAGAAGCCTAATTTGAACACGCAAGGCCCCCCTGCCAAACTCAGATTTCTGGCTGATTTTGCCAGTTGTAAACCCCAGGAGCAGTGGCCTACTGGAGTGAATAGGGTCACAGACCTGGGAAATTACTAGTGACTGGGTGCAAGGTAGGGAAGGAGGTATTAACCTTCCCAGACTAACCCATTTTCCAGATGGATCCCTTTGCCCTCACGGAGTGGGGCGGGCCCAAAACTGCTTGCTAGAGTGGCACGCTTCACAGGCAGCAGAGGAGATCCCTGCCCCAGGTTCCTGCTCTGGGCAGGCCCAGAACTGCTTGCTAGTCCCATGGGCATCCCGCAGGCAGTGGCAGAGGAGTCCTCTGTTCCAGGTAGACCCAAAACAGCTTGCTAGAGACACACACACCCCATGGGGGCCAGGGGAGGAGTTCCCCGCTCCAGGCACCCAAGCTGGGTGGGCCTAGAACTGCGTGCTAGAGCCACATGTGCCCTGCAGGTGGTAATGGAGGGATCTACCACTCTGGGCAGGCCCAGAACTGTTTGCTAGAGCCACGTATGTCCCACAGACGGAGGTGGAGAAGTTCCCTGCTATGGGCTCCCGCGCTGGGAGGGCACAGATGGGCTTGCTAGTGCCACACATGTCCAATGGGTGATAGTGAAGGAGTCCTCCACTCCCCCCCCC